ATCCTTGAACTACAATAATTCATATGAATCTAATCATTCATTTTGGAAGAACCAGAAGTTGTACAGAATTGTCCAATACATATAGAAAATTTTCTTGTCCCATACCTTCCTTATCGTTTGCTATGTAACCAAAGATTCCTTGTTGGATTTTTCTTTTTCTGACAGGACAACCTTGGCCACACAAAAAAGTTGACATTAAAATAAATTATATTTCAATCAACTAATATGTTTTCTCAAAGTAAAAAATTGAGGGCCAGCTCATTATGTTTTGTTTCCTTGTACAAAAAAGTGCAAAAAAGAAAAGAAAGGAAGGCCAATTCATCCGAATTTGACAAAGAAAGAAATCAAAATGAAAAAATCAAAATGATAATTGCTTTTCAGTTTCAAAGATTAAAAGGTCAGCAGACAGGTTTTGTCTAAATGATGATTTTTTTTAGAAAAAATGGATATATATTTGCGCTTTTAGAAACAACAAAACCCTAAATTTTAGGAACGATTCGGTCCATTTTATTTGAAAAAAATAATAATTAATTTAATTAATTTTCATTCAATAAATAATAAAATAGATAAAATTTTTTAAATAATCAATCATAATTAAATCAATCAAAATTGATTCAATTAAATAATTAATTTTTTAATTTTTTCTTCTTAATATGATTAATTATTTAACTATAAATTTAAATCAATAAAATTCAAATTCAACTATTATTCAAATTAAATCACTAAAAAATTTAATAAATTTAATAATATTTTATAAAAAAATAAAATACTTATATCAATTTTTTATTTTTTTATTAAAAAATAAATTCATTCGATCAATTCGATTATTAATTTTAAAAATAAAAAATCGATCGAATTAATCAATTTAATTAATTTAAAAAATTAATTATTATTAAAATCAAATAAACTGAATCGATTTAATCGAATTTATTTAATTTCAATTAGTTTAATTGATTCAAACAAAATTTTTTTTGCCCCTAATAAATTTTAATTAATATATCAGTCAATTGGCTATGACTCAATTAGCAAAGTTCTTAAAAAAAATTTAGATATTAAAACTTAATATTTAAATTTATTAAATATTATTTTTAAAAATAATTATACAAATCAATATACTTTCCAAATATCGATTGAATTTCACAAAATAAAAAATAGTTTGAATCGTTTGGTACCAGACAAAAATTAAACCAAATCTCCTACCTATAATTGCGTTAAGTTATTTTATTTTATTACGAAATCAAAGAAGAAATGCTTTTGGAACTTTTGAGCTTTGGCAGTACTTGAACCTACTTTCCACATCAGCTTGACTATAACTCATGTTCTGAGTTCAACCAAATGTGTATGCATAGGATTTTGTATTCCAAGTCCCATGTGATCAAATCCAAGGGGAACTCTTAGAAATAGAAACAAAAACAAACCCAATGGGGACACTTAGAAAAACATTCAACTAAACAAATTTTAAAACAACGGCAATCCGCAATCATGCATGGTTGTCTCGAAAAAAATATCTCAGCAATTAAAGTTGACTATTTCACAGGATTTTGAATTCAAATCTTAAAATAAATAAATAAAATTAATCAAATGAGTGAAAATTATTCATCGACATACAATCGATGCACATGTTAAAGAAAAAAAAAACGCATGCCTATGATAGGCTATCATAGAAATTGAAAGGCAAATAGAATTACTTGACTACAATTTTAATGAACAAAGGAGAAAAGATTTTATGAAATAATTATATCATGTTACTATATATTTTTTTATTTAAATCATGTTATATAATTATATTGTTAAAAAATTATTTGTTACATATTACATATGATAATTAAATAATTATTTTAATAAATTAATACATTATTTTATAATAAATAAATAATTTTTTAAATAATGTAATTATATAGTATTATTTAAATAAAAAATAAATATAGCAATATAAGGTAACTGTTTTATATAATTTTTTTTCAATCTAAATGTATTAACCACAAAAAAGTGATATGGGGTGGAATAATCAAAGAAAATGAAAGCAAATTGAGTTGTTTTGGCATAACTAATGAAGAAAATCCAAGTTTCTTAACCACAAAAAAACTAAAGAAAATTAAAAGAAAAAACTAATGGCGTTGGATGGAAAAATCAAAGTGAAGCAGGAAACAAAAAAGAGAAAAAGACAAGAGACAAGTGCACATGAAAATCCAGAGAGGATGACGATGCTGTCAAGATCCGTACGTTTCACATGTGACAGATAAGCCAATATACAGTGTGATAAGATTAGAACAATATTTTTTTATATAAAAATTTTGAAAAGAAAATCGTAGAAAAAAAAAAAAACATGGGGGATTGGGGGAGTGTGAGAAGAGAGCTAACTTATCGCTGTATTTGTCAGTAAACATCAACCACAATAATAACAAACATTGAATTTAATAAGAAGAAGATACTTATAATGTTTTTTCGGATCTTTGTTAGTAATTGTATGTGGCTTTTTGTTCTTAGTATTTGTTGAGAAAAACCAACATTCTCGGCTCATTCTGTGAATAAATTGATAGATCCTCAGGCCCACTTTCTTTCTTTCTTTCATCTCCTCTTTAGAGAGGAAAATTTTGACTTAATCCCCGTGCTAATATATATATATAAGAAATTCAAAATTTATTTTTTCAAAAAATTATATATAATTATTAAATAAAAATTTTAAAAACATAAAATATAAGGTTATATACTCGTATTTTAAATATTATTAGTGTAATTTTTAATTCGGTTCGAGTTAACGGCTGCTAATGAGTTTTATTTAAGTTAATGTACATCAATTATAATTTTTTTTATAAATATTGAATTAAATAGTGTTAATAAGTTAATATCTCTGTTTGATAATGTTATTAATAATAAAGTAAAATTTATGAAACTATTGATTTAGAAAAATAAAATGTTGTATATCCTAGAATTTAAATATAAGAAAGCTAGTGTGTTGAAAAAGTTTAAGCTAAAAAAGTTGGAAAAGGCATAAGGTTATAAGCCTGTAGAGTTTTGAAGAGCAATTATTTTATGTATCTCATAAAAAAAAAAAAAAAGAGAAACTTCACCTACAAATTGAATCATATCAAATATAAAACCAAGCATTTATTTTCTCAAAAAAGAGGAGGGGGGTGGGGTGGGGTGAGGATGGTCAAATAATAATTTATATTTGAAGGCAAATATCCAAAGTAATGAGAAAAAAGTTCAGTTTAATTGCCATTTTCAATTTTTCATCCTCAGCTTCACCCGCATAATTGCAGTGTCGATTGGACTCAATTTGAAAAGGATCAAAATGAAATACTTGAGAAAAGAGTCCATATTGAGCCCACTTAAAATGCTCAATGGGCCAGTTCTTCCAATCCATGTTCATTAACTTTCTTGAACTCCACTTTCATGCTTTATCTCTCGAGAAAACTAGACAAATTAAAGAGAAAAGCTCATTCATTTTGCAATAATTTTTTTTTTATAATACAGTCAGGTTCAGACAAAATCCTAAAGATGTATTCTTCTATATCGGTTTATGCATTTGGAATTTTATTTTAAAAATACTTTCCACAATGATGGAATCCTAATTGATAAGAACATAGTGCCTTTCATTATCAACTGGACTAATCCTAGTGGGTTTCTTGCATTTGATAAAAAGGGAAAAAAAGAAAAAAAAGGAAAAACAGGCTTTTAGTTAAAATCTTTTCAGAATGGGCTTGGGCATAAGTCTATCAAAGTGGTTGGGTCAATAGATGAAAATGGTCAATATCTGTCTCCTCTGGCAACCTTCCTTTAGTACATATATTTTGAATTGAGCAAAGCCCAATAACTCTTTCCAAATCCTGATGGCCTGATTCTTCTGTAAAAATTAGACACACCCTTTTCTGATTGGACCGTGTCTTAAGCATTTCACATCATCAAAATCCAATGGGCTTAAGACAACAGTTTATGAGAATGAGACAGCAGCGAATAGACAGAAAAAGTCTTAAAAATATGATGTCATGTCAACTTTCAAATCAAGCTCTATGTCATTGTTTTCCATGTCATTTCCTTGGACCTAGAGGCTTGAGATCAAGAAAAGCAAAGTTGCCATACTTTCAGCTGGCATGAACCTTAGGTGCCATTTAGGGGAGGTCAGTTCCAATCAAATGCAAATGGTGAGGTGGTGTGGTGACTGCAATTATTGGGTGGGGCATGCACTAAAGGTTAAAAAATAAAAGAGAAAAAAAAGAATAAGGCTAATTATTTTCTTCAGTTGTCTTTTCTTCCTATACAATGTACCATTCATCCACAGAACTATGAAAATACATTGGGTGTTTTTGGCTGCAGATTGATTCTGACCTGTGTCTGGTTTTACTAGTTTCTGATATGCCTAACATGCCAAAACAAATCCAACTTGCTCCAAATTTTGATATTTTAATACATTAAAAATTGAAATTAAAAAACAGACTTTCATGGGAAAAGAAAAGGGAAGAAAAAAAAAATACAAAGAAGAAGGAAACGAACTTTCAGCTCATCAATTCTAACTTTATTCGCATGTTCACAAATCAAAATTTGATTTATTTCGAGCACCCTTTATCTCCGTCTACTCCTTTAATATGTCATCTTAAACAAATTATTTCACTTTGGGAATTGTATTCGATAGCTGTCTTAATAATGAAAGTCTTTAATAATTTCAGGCTGAACTGCTTAATCTTCAGATGAGTATTATAGTTCACCTCAAATAAAAAAGTCTAATTATGGCTAATCAAATAAAAAAGTCTAATTATGGCTAATCAAATGAGATAATCAACAGGAAAAAGACAAACAACTCCACCAATGATGGCAAATAAGAACGGAAATCAGCAATTCCACCAGGGTGGAGACAATACTGTATCATGTCAGAAAACTAACCAAAGAAATTTTCTGTAGATAAGAAAACATTGGGGTCCGAGAATCCTTATCCATGATACCAAGATCAACGCCCCCAATAAAGATAATACTGCCTGCCATTACATACTCGAGTTTAATGTCCCCACAAATTAAAATCCTATAAATGGTGATTGAACCCTTCAAAGCCATCTCTACTTCCATTTCATTTGGCATATATTTGTATATACATTTAGCAAAATTTTCTCTCTGGTTTGAAGAGTTGAAGAGAAAATGTTGGCTATTTTCCACAAGGCATTTGCTCATCCTCCTGAGGAGTTGAATAGTCCAGCCTCCCACAAATCTTCAAAGAAGCCTAAACTTCCTGAAGAAACCGTGAATGAGTTCCTATCTCATCACCCTCATAACACTTTTTCCATGAGCTTTGGCAACGCTGCTGTGCTAGCTTATGTTCAACCAGAAAGTCCTTACTTGGTTCATCAAAGGTTTCCATGTCTGTTCAGAGAAATAGTTTATATGGAAATTGCTGATAAGAAAATCAATAGTTGACATTATGTGCTTTTGCAGGTTGTTTTGTGGATTTGATGATATATACTGCCTCTTCCTGGGGAGCTTGAACAATCTTTTTATGCTGAATAGACAATATGGTCTGTCAAAAGGGAGCAATGAGGCCATGTTTGTGATTGAAGCATATAGGACCTTGAGAGACAGGGGTCCATACCCTGCTGATCAGGTTGTTAAAGATCTTGATGGAAGCTTTGCCTTTGTTATCTATGACAGCAAAGCTGGAACTGTCTTTGCTGCACTGGTAAGTCATTGTTCCAAGTATCAGAATTGACTTGTGGTATCAGGAAAATGGAATTTTTATCCCAATTGTACCGTTAAATATTGTTTGTTAGCTGCTTAAGTACTGATTAGAGTTGCATCTTTGATATTCCAGGGTTCTGATGGTGGGGTTAAACTGTACTGGGGAATTGCAGCTGATGGCTCAGTGGTCATATCTGATGATTTGGATGTCATCAAAGAAGGCTGTGCCAAATCCTTTGCTCCCTTCCCAACAGGTACTTGACAGGTTCTTTTTCTGGTAAAATTGGTTCAAACTTGCATTGATTCATATCTAATTAAATGATTCGTATGAAATCTGTCTGATAAAATGTTAAAATGGTGATATTATGAATCTGATACAAATGTTGATTTGCGGGGATATCCAGGATTCATGTTCCACAGTGAGGGAGGTTTGATGAGCTTTGAGCATCCAATGAACAAAATCAGGGCAATGCCAAGGACAGACAGTGAGGGAGTAATTTGTGGAGCTAATTTCAAGGTTGATGTCTACACAAGAGTTAACAGCATTCCAAGAGTGGGAAGTGAAACAAATTGGACTCACTGGGATTCACAGCAATAAAACTAAAACACCTTTAAAAAAAAGGTTGTTATGAAACTTTGTTCTCCAAGAGGATCAAAGCTTAAACAAACACTAGGACTTCTGCCTTTCTCTAAGTTCTTGACTTTTTTGGTACTTTTCTTGTTATGTTTTCTGTGTTTTTGTTTTTTCTTTTGGGATTATAAATAATAACCAAATGCCTACTATTATCCTACTTTTTTTGAAACTTTTTTGCCAATCTGAAGTATATTGATTTTAATGTGTAAAGGACCTAAAGTGGATTTTGAAAATTCTTTTAAATGTTTCGATTTTAACTCTTTTTCTTATATTCAAATTGTAGCTTCTATTATAAAAAAATATAAAAGTATATTGAAAGTAAATTGGTATGAATATGATTAAAGTACTTTAGATAAAAAAAAATTGAATTTTTAGATCACATATGAAATTAATACAATATTACATAAAGGTTAAGAACTGCTGAAGCAATTGACTGGACCTATTCTTTGTCTAAGCTTAGAATCCTATGTAAGGTCCTTTGGGATATGAATGAATGATATACAAAAGCTGCGAAATTTTGACTGGCCCATCTCATCCAACTATGCGAGTACAGATCACTGGAGTTGCATAAAGATAGGTCAAGATAGTCGTCTGATTCATAGATGAAATCAATAAAACATCCTTTCACAAGTAAATCAGAAAGCTCTGTAAAACTAACATGATCCCCACTTTGTATTTCATTCTTAAATTTCCAAGAGCTTATCCACGTGATTGAGTACTCGGCTTCAGGAATTCCTACGAAATGTTTACAATAGGTCCACTAGGTGTCTTTGGTCTCATTAACAATTTCAACACAAGGTAAGAAATCAAATGTTTTGTCAGAATCAACAAAAAAAGAAAAAAGATGATTGATTTTAGCCAAATAATTTTTTGTTAGAGGGCGCTGTAAATGAAATCTTAGACCTGATGCCCAGAGCATGAAGACCAACCCAACCCATTGGAGCCTCACGGGTTGAATCAAATTTGCTAATTATCCCACAATCATATAAGACCTGTTGCATTGAGTAACGAGTAAATTTCATTATTTGTTCCTAATTTGTTAATATGTGGATAAAATTTGAATAGAATTTATCATGTGTATGTTCAGCAAATGTGATGCGGCAAATTCTGTTCGTATTTCATCCAAATTCAAAGGAATATAGATAAATGAATGTCTTTTGAATAGATTCAAAAAAAAATTTAGAGAGAAAATAAGCTTTGTAAGGCTGATAATGCTCTCAGGCAAGCTATGGATTGGGCTTCTGCTTAAATTTAAAGATTCCAAGTAAGGTACACTACTAAGATCACTGGGCATAACATCATCTGATAGTCTGCAATTCTCAAGACTCAACCAAAGAACATGGTAAAAATTCCCAAAACAAACTCATTTCTTTTCTTCTTTTTAATGATAGCCAAAACAACCACGAAATTGATTCAAATATAGCAGTTTCATCCAAACCAATCACCCTCAATGATTTCATACGCTGCAACTCCTCCGGTACATGATTAAGTCTTAAGCAACCATATAAAATTAACTCTTTAAGAGATACCAACATACCAAAGGTAATTGGAGTTTCCTTATATTTTTGTAGTCTTTAAAGTTTAAAAAATTGAGTGTCTTTAGCTGACCAATGGATTGATCAACCTCAATAAGATTTATGCAATCTTTGAGCATCAATATCTCAAAAGGCTAAGGAATCCTAAAAGTTTGGGATTTTCATAAGATCATGTGTGTGGAGATTCGCACCCAACTTGGGAGGTATTGTTTGCTTTGACCATAAAATTTCATGATTTTGTCCCACATAAGGGATCTCACAAATTTGGGTTTAAGCCTCCATATATATATATCATAGCAGAGTCTCAAAGCATCCTACCTCTATATATATATATCATAGCATATCCTCAAAGCATCCCGATGTGGGATTGGGGCATTACAAATTTTTTTCGTTAAAGTTTGATGTCCTTATTAAGCTTAATACAAGCACACAAATCCATCGAATCACACCAAATCTTGGGCAAGCCTAGTACAAAGTACACATAGATCATAGGATCACACCAGATGTTGGGACGTCATGCTTAACATAAGTACACAGATCCATCGAATCACACCAAATGTTAGGCAAGCCCAATATAAAGTATACACAAATCATAGGATCATACCAAATGTTGAGGTTCTAGAAGTGGCTTCCACCATGTAGCACTTAGCTCTCATAGAATTTTAGAGGTGACTCCCACGGTGTAGCACTTAGTTCCCATAAATGTCAGACAAGCCCTACACAAAGTACACATAGATCACAAGATCACACCAGATGTTGAGGTTCTAGAAGTGGTTCCCACCATGTAGCACTTAGCTCCTGCAGGATTCTAGATGTGACTTCCATGACGTAGCATTTAGTTCCCATCCATATCCGACGTTGGGACGTCAAGCTTAACACAAGCACATAGATCTATCAAATCACACCAAAGGTTAGGCAAGCTCAATACAAAGTACACACAGATTATGAGATCACATAAGATGTTGAGGTTCTAGAAGTGGCTCCCACCATGTAGCACTTAGCTCATGCAAAATTTAGAGGTGACTCCCACGGTATATCACTTAGCTCCCATAAATGTTAGGCAAGCCCAACATAAAGTACACATAGATTACAAGATCACACTAGACGTTGAGGTTTTAGAAATGGCTCTCACCATGTAACACTTAGCTCCTGTAAGATTCTAGAGGTAACTCTCATGGCATAGCATTTAGTTTTTATTTGATTAGTAATCGCTCTGATACTATTTGTGGAGACTTACACTTAACCTGTGAGGTATTGTCTACTTTGACCTAAAGATCTTATGATTTTATTGCACAGGATTTTAGAGGTAACTCCTATGTTATAACATTTAGCTTTCGTCCGACTGGTGACCGTTTTGATACCATTTATAGAGAATTGCACCCAACCTATGAGGTATTATCCATTTTGACTCGAAGATCTCATAATTTTATCCCACAGGATTTTAGAGGTGACTCTGCGGCATAGCACTTAGCTTCCGTTTAACTAGGGATCATTTTGATACTATTTGTGGAGAATTGCACCCAATTTGTGAGGTATTGTCCTCTTTGACTTGAAAATCTTATAATTTTATCCCACAAAAAGAGCCTCATAGTTTTAGGATTAAGCTTCTACTTATATATCATAATATCACAAACTCCCTGTCAAGCCCAACACGAAGCACACACAGATCACAAGATCACATCAAATATTGGGATTTTAGAGGTGGCTTCCACCGTATAGCACTTAGCTTCTGTACGATTCATGAAGCACACATAGATCACAAGATCATACCAAGTGTTGGGATTTTAGAGGTGGCTTCCACTGTGTAGCACTTAGCTTCCGTAAGAGTTTAGAGGTAGATATCATGGTGTAGCACTTAGCTCTCATCTGACTGGTGATTGCTCTAATACCAATTGTGGAGACTTGAACCCAACTAGCGAGAAATTATCCATTTTGACCCGAAAATCTAATGGTTTTGTTCCACAAAAGGTGCCTCACAAGTTTGATTTTAAACCTATATATATATATATCATAATAAATTCTCAAAGCATTTCGATGTGGGATTAGGGCGTTACAAAGTGAATGGTTAAGATTAAGGATCTTCAAATTTGGAAGACACTATAAATGAATAAGAAATAAAAAATAATTAGCTCAGACATATGTGTTATTGCTTCATGAAAAAAAAAAAAGAAAACTTAGTCACACCCTTTGAATTCTTCCAAACATGTTTTAGGCTACTTTTGCGCATGTCAAGAACAACTAGCTTCAAAATATCTATGTTTGTTGGAATATATTGTACAGGAAATCCATGCCAATGCAACCATATCTATATTTTCATAATCTAGCTGAAGTTTAAGTCTTTGCATCTTTGTAAATACTTTAGTTTCCATATCTACCTCATTTGACATGAGAAATGGATTTTTTGATTTATTTACAAGATGTAGCAATCCTTGTAGCTCAATGTTACCCTGTTGGAGAAAAAATTTCTCTTGAAAAAATAAAATTAAAAAAATTGTAGAAAAGAAACGAGTAGATGAAAATGAAATCTCTTAAAATTTTTTCTTGTTTTACATTAAATGCATCATTATGCCACAACTTGCTTCATTTCCCAAGGTTAGGAGATTTTTGTTGAACAATTTTCCTTTCCATATCTCTAATCATTTGATGCATCATGAAGGTGTTTTTTTCATTAACAATTAGGAGAGACCGACGAATGAAATTTTCAATTCCAACTGTTGTATAGAAATCACAACCATCTAGAATTGTAGTTGTGTAATCTTTATCCTTCCCGATGAAGCAACAAGCTATGTCAAGGAATAAATTTTTATCATGATCATCTTCCATGGAATCATAGCTTATTTTTAGATTTTTTTAAAATTTTGTTATTAGGGATTACTTCTAATTTCTCCAATGCACTTTTCCAAACACATATTTTTTCCTAATAGTGAAGAACCCATAACTTTAAGAGCTAATGGAAGCCCACCACAATGTTTCACTACTTCTTTCGTGTACTCCATTGAATTGATCTTAATCGATAAACTCTTTTCGAAAGCATACAAGTTAAAAAGTTGAAGTGTTTCGTCAAAGTTAATTCTTTCACTTCAAATTCCTTACAGATGTTTCCATAATTGGATGATGATGATTCCAAATTAAGCAGCTTGGCAACGAAATGAGCATTCAACATAGATCAATGTCTACTAGTTATGATGATCTTACTTCTTGGATGAAAGGTTACTTGGGTTTCGATTATTTTAGTTATTTTTTTTTCGAATCATCCACATCATCAAGAACAAGAAGAACTCTTCTACAACATAATGCTTCTTTGATCTTAGTAATTCCATCGTCTGTATCATGTATTTTGTTTACTTTTCCCTGGAGGATATCTGAAAGAAGCTGTCTTTGCAAACGAACCAAGCTATTGCTTTCTTGGCTTACTTTTCTAACATCAGCAAGGAAACTGTAGCCTTTGAAAATTTCAATGTTTTGATTGTAAACAACTTTGGCAATGGTTGTTTTCCCAATCCCTCCAATTCCAAAAATTGTCTAACAATATGTTGAATGAACTGTGATTCATGCCTACAGATTTTAAAAGATAAATATTAAAATAGATATTTGAAATATAACTAGCAAGTAACATCCTGAAAATTGAGTAAAAATCATTAACACGTTTGTTTGTTTCTTGACTAATTTAGTTTTTATAAAAGT